GCTCAGTCTGTAAATGAATCAAAACACATTTGGGTTAAGACAGAAGAGGCCTGGGAAGGTCCTGCAGTGCTGTAACCCCATTAGTCACAGTCGATGAGTAAGAGAGATGGTTAAAATATAAATGCATGTGATAAAAAGGGTGGGAATGATGAAAGGAGTAGCAGCTGCTACATCCTGAAGAGAGTGGGCAAGCTAGAAAATAGATTGGAAAAGAGTTTTGGGCATTTTTTGGTTGATTGTTTTGATGGCCTAGCTAATCAGTTTCCCTTTTTTCTAGCTACACAAATGTGATGTAGCTGTGATGCCTTCTTTGACCAGAAGAACTGAGTTGGTACTGTCAAACTTGTTGGTGTTGCTTCTTGGGTCAGTTGGAGAGGATGATATAAAGTCACTCTCAGTTACCATAGTGTTTGGGTTATTTAATTCCAAGGTCTAAATAACTTCTGCAAGGCACCTAGAATAACTTGGTTACCCTGCATTGAATGCACTCTGAAAAAACAATGATGGTCATGGAAATCAAATCTTAAAGCAGATCATGACTTCCTCAGTTCTCAGCTTTAACCAAAACTCACTACACATCCCAGCTGTTGAAGTTTGTCAGGTACATCTTGTGATGTACTGAAAAGGAAAGGTCAACTCACTTTTTTTCTTAAGATAAGGAAACCATGTGATTATAATTATCTAAAGCAGACGTCCACTGTACAGAAGTCTCATGCCTCAATTGATTTATTTCAGTTCTATACTAGTACATGACTGTCTCCTTTTTTCCTTTTGTATACAGATATCTCTTTGTTTAAAAACCAAGTTTTTCCCTCAGAGTATGCCTTCTGAGTTAATTAAAAATAAATCATTTAAATTACAGAAAGATATTTTAACGAAGAGTTAATTTAAGTTGTAGGGAAAAACCTCTTCTTTTTTAGGCAGGTGGTTTCGTGGTTAAATCATTGGACTTGGACCCAGGAGATCTGAGCTCAGTTGCTAGCTGTGTCACAGGTTTGGTGTGGGAACATGGGAGGTCACTTAACTTTTCTGTATGATGGGGTCTTATTGCTTCCATTTACCCTTTCTTTGCCTGACCAAGATGTGCCAAAATATTTCAGTGGCTCTAGTTAGATTTGTGATAAGGCTCCATTCACATCACGAATCCACCTACAAGTAACAGCTTGCAGGTGCAATGCTTTAGCTTGTAAGAAATTGGGGAAAAGAATGTCTCTTACCAGGTGGTTCTACAACACTGAGCACAGGAGAGCTTTCGTTCTTGACTAGCATCTCTGGACTGTATTATAGTTCAGTTATATATTATGGCATATATATTACAGCTAATAATAGATTGCACATTGTTTGCCTGATATAAAGAGAATCTCCTAATGCACCTACATTCCAAACACTGTTCCAGAATGACCCCACTCCTGCAGCCCCAAAATTCAGGAGGCACCTACATTTTGGATTGTAAAAGTCCCTAGGCATATACACAAAAGTGACCTAATCTGGGCACCTAGGGGCATTTTTACATGTGATCTTGATGCAACAACAGGTGCTTTTAATTATTGAGCTGCACTAATTAAAAGTGCCTGTGTGTCACGTGCATCAGTGGTACAGCACATCCTCACGCCGAGAAAATGGCAGTGGGGTGCTTTGAACTAAAGCACATTGAACGTGTTTTATTTCAAAGTGCCCTACTGCCATTTTCTCAGCATGGAGATGTGCTGCGCCGCTGATACACATGACGCATGAGGCTGCCAGAGCACATCAATTTGTGCAGTCCAGTAGACTCAATTAATCAAGTCTACTGCAATGCACAGGATTTCCAGCGCATTGGAGCAGTCTTTCTGCATATGTGTAAGTGCCCTAGGAGCCTAACTCTGAGCAAAACTCATTTGTCATCTAGAATGGTAGTGGGGCAGTAGCTAAACTGCCTGTGTGCGCCAGAGGACAGCCATTAGACATCCTTTGAGCATACTTACTTGACACTGACAGCACTGTTTGGCACAGAGCTCAGTTGCCACAGTTACTTTAGCTCAAAATAATGGTTGGTGGAAGTGCCACTGCCACCAAACAGTTGTGTGTGAATTTAATGGCTACAGCATTCACTCAGGGGGTTGGAGACTTGGATTCCAGGCCAGTATAGCTTGGTGGGATCAAGAGCCACTTTTCCCGCATCCCAGGAGAATGCCCCAAACACCAGGGTATAGAACAATCTGGGTGGGGAGTAGTCTCATGTTTTCTGTTGAAGTTGAGTATTGGGCAGACAAGAATGCAGCAGTGGTGGGACCAGAAGGAGTGTAAGCAACAGGAAGTGTGACTCTGTACTCTAGTTTTAGGGCACTCTGCTGAGAGTTGGGAGACCTGGGTTAGAGGCTTTGACCTCAGGTTATTTCTGTTTTCTAATCAATATGAAATGTGTGCGTGTCTTCATCAGTGGGCTACAGAATTAGGTTCTTTTGCTTGTTCTCCTTGTGGCCCCATCTCTTGCTTTCCTTTCTGTCCATTGGTCCAGCTTCAACAGAAGTGGGGCAGCGGAGGGGTTCCCTGCCTTTCACCCAAACTAGCTTATAGACTTTGTGGTTAGAGCCATATCATGGGAGAAAGGATATATGTGGAGTTGAATCCACACAAGCTGAGATCTCCAAGCTCCAGGGCAAGTGGAATTAGGAAACAAGGCAATCATGAAAAAGTTGGGTGACACTACTATTGCCAATGACCAATCAGGTGCCTACCCTCTGAAGAGAGACTAGGCATTCACCATCCTGGATGAATGGAGATACAGCCCTGAGTCAGGTGCTAAGCTCTGGTGTGGGGTGGGGATTCAGAAACACTATTGTGTTCAGCACTTTCTATTTGCTGCTCTAGGTGGCTTTTTGCTTTGAGTCTCCATTTGAAGTGCCCAACTGTCCTGATACTTTGTGCAGGGAGCTGAGGTGCTCAGTTTTCTCTCTGGTTCCTGTGGGATTCCTGTGCCTGCCCCTGTATATTTGTATCACACATCTAATATTGAGGTATTGCAGCTTCTAAATGGATGTACCTGGGTGATCAATTTGGTACTGACTTTGAGCCAAACACTCTTTTCAGTCATTGTAGTGTAACTCTTACATTGGCATTAGAGCAGTTTGCTAATATGATAATTTTGATTACAGCATTTTTCTAATACATTATAGTTATACTTCATAATTTTTATTAGATCTAAATTAAATAGATCCCTTAAAACTTGAATTTTATCATAATGGAGTAAGGATGCAGAGAACAAGAAGGGAATAAGCTATCTTTAATGCTGTTTTTACTAATGCTATATTTAACCCTATCACAAATAGCAGGGTACGTTTTCTAGTTTTTGTATTCCAGTGGTAGGCAATATAAGTCTCAGCTTCCTTAATTGTAAAGCAGGAAATCAAAAAAGGAAGGGTAAAGCACTGCACTTTCTGATAAGAAAAAAAGAACACAAAATGTATTTGTTTGAAACTACACTCTCTATACATGGGGTAGCTGTAGGTGTTAATCAGGACTTTTGAACATACTTCAGGATAAATTAGGGTTCAGTGGTGTGTGTAACACACCTGAGGGCCATATGACAGGTTGCTTAGAATGAAAACCAGCAGTTTATAACAGATCTAGACATTATAGATTTAAAAACAGCAGGTCAGCTTCCCAGTATACAGCAAGAGTGGATATGTATACCAGTGGCCAAAGGCGTAGACTCAGTAACAGGTTTCATATCTAGTGTTTGAAGGAACAAATAGCTACGCAGTCCTGGATCCTTCTTTTCCCTGTCCATTTAGGTTAGTGATTATTTAGTGCTAACATTTGCATTACAAGGAACTGTTTTATGGCAAATTAACACATAGAATATTTCACAGTAGGCCAGTCCTCTTCCCATTGAAATCAATGGCTAAAATCATTGTGGACATGAAAGAGGCTCAGGATGGGTCTATAGACCAAGGGTTGTCAACTGGGAGTACGCGTACCCCGCGGAGTACTTGAGATGGCTCTAGGGGGTAAGCATGGGTGGGCGGGGATGGAGTGCCACCACGCACCATCCTGCTCTTGTGTGCAGGAATTGCTGACCGGCTGGACACGGGGCAGGGAAAACTGTCACACGGTGGCTGGTGCTGCTCTGTATCTGGCCACACGCTGCCCCCCCCCCCCACACCCCACATGGTGCTGTGTGCCACACCCCTCTTCCCAGGTCTGTGTCTAGCTGCCATACACTGCTCTGCATCTGGCCACAAGGGTACACTGACCCAAATAAGTTGAAAAGCCCTGTTATAAACTATTACAAGAAGATGGCCACATCTTTCTGGTGAGGCCACAACTGGAATAGGAGTAGTATGTCCAGTTTTGAGCTCCCCACTATAGAAACGATGTGGACAAGTTGGAAAGAGTCCAGCAGAAAGCAACAAAAATGGTTCAGGGACTGGGGCACATGACTTATGAAGAGAGGCTGAGGGTTTATTTAGCCTGCAGAAGAGAAATCTGAGGGGGGATTTATTAGCAGCCTTTAACTATGTGAATGGGGGTTCCAAAGAGGATGGAGTGAGACTGCTCTCAGTGGTGGCAGATGGCAGAACAAAGAGCAATGGTCTCAGGTTACAGCAAGGGAAGTGTAAGTTGGATATTAGGAAAAATTTTCTTATTAGGAGGGTGGTGAAGCACTGGAATAGGTTCCTTTGAGAGTTTATGGAACCGTCCTTGGAGGTTTTTTAAGGCCTGGCTTGACAAAGCCCTGGCTGGAATGATCTAGTTGGAGCTGGTCCTGCTTTGAGAATGGGCTTGAACTAAGTGACCTCCTGAGGTCCCTTCCAACCCTAATTTTCTGTGATTCTCTGATTCTGTCCACATTTCCAAGATCATGTTATATTAAAATCCTGTTAAGAATAGCAGTGTCACCAAAAGTAGAAGGAAGGGTATTGCACAGCTTTCTAAGGAATATTCCTTTGTTTTTAAGTACATTTTGCAGTATGGTTGAAGAATTTTATCATGTTTTTCTCTTGTGTCTGATATTTTAGGAAACTGTGCCGACAGTGAAAAAGTCACCGACCTTGATTCACTCTGATTTATCAGCTGTTTATGCTACTGTCGTTTTGAACAAGATAGTTTTGTTCTTGGGAACAAATAATGGACAGTTACTGAAGGTTGGTGACGTGGTATTTTTTAATAACACTTTGATGAGAGAATGTTTCCTGTGTTATATTTCATGCATTGTATTGCAACCTAAGGTTGTCACCTGGACAGCTCTCTTCTATTTATTTCAAAATAAACTGCAGTATTACTGTTGTAACTTTCTAAAACTCAAATGAGCAAATAAGGTTATATAGAGAACAAGGTAATATTCAGAAGAGGCTTCTTAAAATCCACAAAGGTATGCATTTGCTGGATATTACTTATAATCCTTAATTTAATATTGCAACACAGTTGATTTAAAGTATTTTTCCCAGTGGAGACCAAATGCTGTTAGATTTCTGTCTTTAAACTCTGCCATGTGTTGTGAATATCTGTCCATTAGAGACTAAGACATAAGGATTGTTTCATCGATGCTGCTGATTAGGATTCTGCTGTTTGAATGAGTAACCTAGAAGTGAAAATAAGATTATCTCATTATCAGACTTGGAAGCATTTAAGTTAACATCTTTTGAATTTTGTTCTTGAATGCAAGTGTGTGCATTTCCTGTCTACACTGGAAGGGGTGACTATTTTATTTTTATTAAGCAGGCAGCTGGAATGGATAGAATACAACATGAAAATCTTTTTCTTGTTTGATTGCAATATACGTACAATGATAAAGGTATAAAACTGAAGGCTTACATGTGTCTCTAGCACAGTGGAGACCACAAACCCATCTGGGTTGTTTAGTTTTCAAGGCAAAGTCTGTATTGATGCTAGTGTGCTGCTTAACATAGAAGAGGAGTGAGAAGATGTGGATAGGAGTTGAGTGAGCCAAAAAGGGAAATAGCAACTCGCAAGCATACTCCCAAAGGCCAGAAGGCAAAATAGCTGCTGTTTTTGAGGCAATGGGTAATAACATAAAAAGGAAACCTTTTAAATGTTATGAAAGTTTACTACAAGGGGGATTCCTGATTGAAGGAGAGGTCGGGGAGCAAGTTCCTTTTAAAGCATCTACTACAGGAGCTGCAGCATGGAGGAGCTGCAGGAACCCAAGAGTATGAAGGCAGAGGTTCTTTGTCTCTGTGAGAACTTGGATTTAAGGGACAGATCCCTTGATCTCTTCCACTATGCAAAGTGGGACCTGAACCCTTGTCTTCTAAGAGGAAAATATAGGCATAAACCTTGATTACACTTTGGGCTTTAGCTCATACTGTGGCACTTTTTGCCCTCCACTCTGTTAATAGGACAGGAAAAAGATTTATCATTAAATCTGTTTCCTTGGTAAAGGGATTTGTAACTAATTTTACATTTCACATTTTTAGGTTATTCTTAACAAGAATCTGGAACCGAATTGCCCTGAAATTTTACATGAAATAGAAGAAGAAACACCAGTTTTTCCCAAACTTGCACTTGACCCAGTGGATAGTAACTACATATATTTGGCATCTGCTAACGAGGTTGGTACAACATCAAATACAATTATTAAACTGCAAATTTGAAGGCTTTAATAAGTTTTCTGTTATATCATAGGTAGAGTTTTCACTGGAATAATAATCAGACCTTGATTGTCTAAACTCCAGTTAATCAGTTTGTTCCTGCAGAACTCATAAGGCACTCAGTCCTACATGGGGCTGAGCACTGTTGCTCTGATCCAGCAAAGCACTTAAACACACGCTTGACTTTGGCCATGTGCAGTTCTTACATTCCTTCCTGGAGAATCATTGCTCTCCCAATAGAAATTACCCACGTACAAGTGTTCATACAGTTGTGTGTGGAGGAAACATGACCCATATGTGAGAAAGATCTTCCACTTTGACACCTGGGAGATCTCTCTTGCTTACGTGCTCTTCTATCTAGAATGAATGCCTGTACGCTCAACTATCCTGTGGGAGGAGTCGAGCAGAAGCTTGCCCTGTGCATTCCTGTGATCAGGGGTGGAGTTAAGCAGCCACTGCCCCCACAAGCCTTCCTGAGACCAGAGTCTCTCTAGTCCAGGGAAAACTTGGAGAGCAGTGGCAGCAGAGCAGCTTTACCTGCCCACTTCCCAGACCAGGGGAATCTTGATCTAGGAAAGGTGTCAGGGGTATTTCCCCACAGCTGGACTCTTCTCATGTTCAGGAGGTGACTGGGGAAGGCATGAGGAGCCAGGAGAAGGGGAATGTCCACAGGTTGTAATGCCTGTACTTTCCCTCTTGAGAAGACTGAGAAGATTTCTAGCAGCAGTAGAAATGAATGCCTGTCCGTGGCCTTTATGTGGTCCTTTTGAGATGCCAGTCATGTGCTTAAAGTTAAATGCATACTTAGACCCCTGGCTGTCTTGAGGTCAGAGTGTTTGTGCTACACTGGAGGAGAGCAACTGATGAAGAAGGCTTACAGGCTCTGTGGGAATATGGTTCTTTTGAGTCCCTTCATAATCTCACAAATTTGCTGTTCTGATTTGCAGGCTGTGGCATTGACTTGGATTCACTGGAGTTAGGGGTTTGTAATCCTGCCCTTTATTGAAGTCCACATTAAAATTCCCATTCAGTGCGGCAAGATTTCATCTGTAGGCTATATTTTTTACTTTCGATAACATCTTTTCTCAACGGAAAATATAACTTATTTTACCCTAAAATTTAACAAAATGACTATAGGTTAGTAGGGACACCCACTGATCTTATAGAACTTCTTTCATGGATGCAGTATTTCACTGCTACAAGAACAAATATAAATCCTTGCACACACAAGAATTTGGTTTTCTTTCATCTTGTTGGAAGAACAAATTACTATGGAGGAACAGCAACCTTTAGGAATAAATATGGCTCCAAAACCCTCTCTAGGAGTTTAACAGGATGGACCATAAAATGAGATTTCTCAAGTTGAGCATAGATATTTAAGCCTGCTGGCAAGCCTAATACCTCATTTATCTGTACCCTGGAATATCCTAGAGACTGTCAAATTAATTTGGTCATGTAGTACATGGTGGGAAAAAGAAATAATAAGAGATTGAGCAGAGACAAAGAAACAAATTTATAAACAAAAATTTCTAATCTGGAAGATTTCTGTAAATTATAAATAATTTTTCATTTAATGTCTATTTAATATCATTTAATATTCTTTTATCTGAAAAGGCTGTGTGGAAAATTTTGGACATTTTTGCATATCTTGATGGACAGTAACCTTTATTTGTACATTTCAAAGGCATGTGTTAATTATATGCGTTTTTATCCATTTCCTTGGGCACTTACCTGGTTCATGCATTGAAATGCCTATAATAAGTGCATTATTTTACACAGAGTTTTAGGTGCATATTCATTTCATTGTTTGAAAACTTGGATTTTGAACTAGAAAATTCATCATCCTGATTCACCAAACTACTCTAGCATTTCTGTCATTACCATTTATGATGCACATGGGAACAATTGAATCAAACACTTAGTCATACTCAAGGGAGTTTCCTGAGTATAGCAGGGAGTTTTGAACAAACTGCATGGTTGGCATAGACATAGACAAGTTTTCAGATACCACAGTGTTCTTCCTCAGGTCTCTGGGGGAGAAAGCAACACAGCAGAGCTAAATAGCAGATGAAACAGGGGCTTGCGTAAAAGTCCATATGTAAATAAAAACAGGAAAAAGAAATTATGGCTAGCTGATGCAACACTTCTGCAAAACAGGTTAAATTTTGGACCTGAAGACGAACTTGCCAAGGCAAAGATTGAGGGAGCCAGCCTAGATTGCCATATAATTTTTAAAACAATAGACATTATTGTGGGATTTCTTACAGCATTGAGTCTGCCTTTTTAGAGGGACCAAAATAATTCAGCATGGTACTGCTTTCTTTTTTTTTAGGTGAGGAGAATACAAGTTGCAAACTGCAGTAATTATGTTTCTCATTCAGATTGTTTGTCTGCAGAGGATCCATACTGTGAATGGTGTCATTTAACTAACAGGTATTTTCTCATATTTCACATTTGCATGAAAAAGAAACATATTTTCAATAATAACTTATAGCTGTATTCAGAATCAACTTATTGTAATTTACATCTAGTGGATATCTACAAAGTCATGCATAAGCTTAAATATGTTTGCTGTCAAATGAGAAGGATTCCTAGGCCTTCCTAGAGCATTGTTAGGCTTGACAGAATTAGATTTTTTTAAAATATTTTTTAAACATTTTGAAAGCTAAAATCAATATTTATTGTTCAGCGTTTATTTTAATTTTTATCAATTAAAATTTTCAGGATTGCACAAAATTAGGGATGTGGGGGGGCAGACAATTTAGTAATATAAAAAGTAAATATCCATAAATCGATAAAGCATACATTTTGTAGACAGACAGAGCAGTATCTCTTGCAATTCAGAACACACATGCGGCAGGAGTTGCAGGCCATGCCAGTAAGAAGACTGTAGTGGGAGATGGGTTTTGAGGGGCAGGGCTGGTGGTGCCTGGGAGTCTGGTGCCACTGGTCTCTCACTCTGCCCAGCTCCCAGCCGGAGCAGGGGCCAAAATCCTATGGAGCCCGGTCCAGGCCAGCCTCCACGGGAGTTTGGCCCCTATCTTGATCATGCAGCAGCCAACCTCCCGCAAAGCCCAGCCTGGCCCTTCCTTGTCTTTGCATGATTGGGGCAGGAGCCAAACTCCCATGGAGGCCGGGCTGGACTGGGCTCCACAGAAGTTAAGTCCCAGCCAGGGCATGGGCCTGGGCAGGGCAAGGGGCTGGCAGCACTGGGCTCCTGGGTGCTACCAGCCCTGCCCCTCCTCCCCCCCACCCCCCAGCACAGCCTTACCGGCACAGCCCCCTCGGCCTTACTGGCACAGCTCTTGTAGTGGCCGTTCTGCATTTGTGTGTGTGTGTGTGTGTGTGTGTGTGTGTGATTGCCTTACCTCTGTCCTGTATTATTTTTTTTTTTACATTCCTTTATTTAAATTTTGATGACTTACTGATGTAAATTAGTTGTCCATCAGTCTGTGAGTGTCAGGTGAAATCAACGTTTATTGATTAAAAAATAAAATCCTGCCAAGCCTAGGCATTGTTAATGTCGAGTGATGGTGCTAATGAAATGGAACTCTTTGTTTTAAAAACTTCATTTGGTATAATGAACTGTGTGCGTGTTTCTGAAATTATTTTTCGTATGGCATGAATATATATTGTGTGTGAAAAAAATAAAGTCCTGAATCTTCTTCAGTAGATAGGGTTCTTTGCACTGGAACTATTGTCTCTCCTGCGTGGAGATTCTTAGGAGGATTTTCTTTTCGAGTGATAATAATGACTTGCCAAGAATTTCAGCATCCCATTTTGGCCATTTGTTCTGTTGCAACCCACACCCACACATGCATGCCGCAGGGCTGGGCCAGGTCGGGCTGGCTCTGTGCCTCCATATGGGGTCTCCAGCACTGCAGGCAGGATACTCATACTCACCAGCTGTCCAGTTGTGTGCCATCGTGCTCGGTGCTTCCACATGGGGCTCCCAGCTGGAGTGCTAGGAGCCCCACAGAGGTGGAAGCATGGAGCCTGCCCAGTCCAATAGCTTGCAACCTCTGAAAGTCTGCCTCTTGCTGGCTTTCAGAGGGGAGCTGCGGGCTAGTAATAATTGGTTTTTGGAGGGGCCCTGCAGGCCAGATAGAATGGCCTGGCGGGCTGTATTTTGTCTGCCCCCTGCTGTATCATATTCTGGTGTCTCTCTCCTCTCTTGTTTCGAAGTGATGAGCACTCAGGTTATAGCAAAAATTTTTGTTCTCTCTTTCAAAGTGCCCAGCCTTTTAATTAGCGCTATTACATTTCATACTATTCTGTAACTTCTACCATCAAGCCACCCAGTTCTTCCTTTATGATATTCTGGATTGATTCTAATCTGACTCCCATCTTTTCATCATTAGCTAGTTTTTATAAGCACTTTCCTACTTTCTGTGCCTAGGCCATTAATGACAATATTAAATGAACTTGGTCCTGAGAGAAATCCTCAAGGACCTCCACTAGTAGCTTTCCTCTGGAAGATTAATCCTTAGTTTGTTTTACTTTGATCTGCATGTACTGCTGCTGAAGACCCACTTGTCTGGGTTGCCATAGGTGGATATTGATGGAAAGTAATATATTGTTACGCAAGTCCTTATCAGATAGTCCACTCAACTTGTGTTATTATTGGTAATCTATGGGTGAAATGGTATTCTCCTGTCTGCATCTAGTGGTGGGCTTTGTGGCACTTATGACTAGAAAACTTCCACTGAGATGCACAAAGGGAAATAGCATTCTACCCAAAGTTATTCTGTTGAATTATTGAGGCTTCAAGTTTATTATTTAAGAAGTTTTTTGGAATTGTAATAAGTATTAAGTTTCATATAATAACAATAAAATAAAACCAACAAAAACAATAAATGATACACTAATAAGTAACATACAATAAGGAGCAAAACCAGAGTATTACAAAATAGATCATAAAACATACATGCTATAAGTTTAGTAGACGCTAGGGGAAGGGGAGAACTTGACATTACATACAGCCAGTTAACAAATATACGTATACTTTTAAAGGATACTAAACCACAAACAAATCAACCTATAAACTTAACAGAAGATTCATATCGTACCATATTCCTTCATATTGAGCCCAATTATGTCTGTTTGCAGATGTAATCTTCACCAACAAAGCGAGATTTATCCTTAGAATACAACACATGCTATTTAAGAAGTTTACAAATAAGATTTACCTTATTTACTCAAATAGAAGGTAGTTTTTTTCCCCCCATTTAACATGGGAGAGACCCTTGTCTTGGATTTGAGTATGAGACAGCAGGGAGTCAGACAGCTGCTGTGGCTTTGGTTCTGGCCCTAACCTGTAGCTTCTACCTGTGCTCCCACTGCTTCTGCCTCCCTCCCTGCAGCCTCAGCTCCCTAGCCTGTCCTCTCTGCAACCTGTTTGTTTGTTTTTTCAGAAACCAGAATACTGTAACAAGCAGCATACATAACACCTACATTATTTTTTAGTATTAATGGATCTGTTTTTGCAAAGTAATGATTAAGATTGAAGTTTCAGAAAAAGAGGTTCAAGTGTTCTTAATAGTTGTTTTATTAATTATTAAGGCCATGTACAGACATTCATAGAAATGATTCCAGGAGAGAGAGCAGCATAGTTGCTCAGTCTGCAACAGCCCCCTCTCCCCTGCTCTTTGTGGCTTCCCAGGACTGGCGTCACCCCAGTCTGCGAACAATGTGAGCTGCTCCATGCCTCCCAGCCTTGGATTGATTCCAGTGTGAGAATCAGGAAAGGGGCTTACAGTGCTGCTCCCTTTTGTTTGGGTCCCAGTGCCTGGGAGTTGAGCAGACTGAGCCTCAGGGCAAAACTCCAACCCACTCCACACACCTGTGGCATAGCAGGGCAAAGCGCAGAGACCCTCCCAAGCTTAGTTTCCAGCTCTGCTGACTTATGAATCAACACCTCCACTGCCCAAGTAGTGTGGGGGGGGGCAAGGGGAAACAGTTAGGGGGCAGCACAATTCCCTGTGTTTGGGCTGGGGCTTTGCCCCACTGTTTCTTCTGCTTGGCTCCTGCACACCAGGAGCCCTTACCTGTTTCTAACACCAGGAACTCTTGGGAATGTGCAGCAGCCAGGTGCAAGGAGTGGTGCAGCAAAGTCTCTGCCCATTTCGCACCAGGAACTCCAGTGTAAGAAGAAGATGGGGAGTAGCTGCCAGCTGCTCCTCCCTTCCTTCCCAGTCTATGGGACGGGCAGAAACAACTGCCCCCTACACCTTCGCCGATCACTGCTTGCCCTCACCAGTCAGTGCTGCTGGAGGCATCTGTGGGTAGTTGCTGACGGTGGTTGCTGTGCCCCCCCAGCCTCTGGGGGCACGCATCATTCATGCTACCAGGAGAATGGTGATTCTTCCAGTAAAATGTGAACATCTGTATATGGCCTGCACGTAACTGAAACACTATACTTCAGGTGTGTTTTTATAATCAGAAATATACTGGATGTCAACTGATAAAAGGTGATGATGTATCAGCGCAATGCACTATTTGTTTTGTGTTATTGCTTAAAGAGTACAAGAATTTATCCTTATCATTTTTTTTCCTTGAGATAATTAAACTACATGTTAGATATGGTTTACTTTTATTATAATAAAATGCACTAACAACTTTAGATTTTAAAAGGATGAATTGCCAGTGATTTAAATTATTTCAAATTGGTTTCTCTTGATGTGAAAATGCACACATCTGTATGAAATGCATTTTAATTTTCATGACATGAGAACTTGCGCATTAGTTTTCCTTTTAGCCCTATAAGTCAATATTTTTAATCATAACATTAATTCATTTTCTTATGTATTTAATTTCCACATGTAAATAAGTGCTTACCTGAAGTATGTTTAATTAATGCTCCTGGAAGCGTGATTCCTTCACAGTAGGAAGACACATTCTGCATAAAGACACCAGAGAGGCTTCTTTGTTAAATCTAGGCAACTAGACAAAAGTCTTTTATTGACTGAATGACATAATAATAAATGTGTTTGTTTAGATATAATTTTGCTCCCAGTGGTATATGACTGAAGTGATGCACATGGTGAAGAGGAATTTTAATGGAATAAATCATTAGCTGTGTTGTTAAGGATGTGCAAAATTCTTCATTCTAGATCTGTCTTTACAAAAATCCATGTATTTCAGCAATCTGATTCTCAACTTCACTGGAAACTCCACATATATAAAATGATCTGTGCCACCTTGACTCTGTTAAATCCTCACCTGTTCTTGGCCATTGCCAAGCTCGCTTTTTTAAACTTGTTCCTGTCTTTAGGATCATTAATCATTCTGACCCGCAGCTTTGTGTCCTTCTTTGCCATTGTTTCCTGTTTTCTCTTATGCTGCCAATGGTCCAGGGCCAGCTCCCTCCTTCCATCACGGCTAGGCTCCAGAAGCCTTCAGCTGTTTGCTCTTAATGTGCCACTCTTTCCCTT